TACTGTAATTGCATGTAGTGTGTACTTTTTTCTTAATAAAAGTAAGCGGTATATGATTATTCGGCAGTGATTAATAGTAATGAATCGATTTATAAATCATTCATTTACGTGAGTAAATTCGATACGTGATACGAAAAAAAATGTATGTCTTATAAATCTCGGTATGGATTTGTTGCATGTCAAGTGCTGTGTAAATTTTTATTGCTTATCCCCGGTAAAATTATTCATCCGTCAAATAGAATGAAGACGTCGAATTTGTAAAAGTAAGTGAGCGAGCGAGAGAGAGAAAGAGAGCGAGAGAGAGTTGTGTGTGTGTGTGTGTGTGTGTGTGTGTGTGTGTGTGTGTGTGTGTGTGTGTGTGTGGCGCGTGTTTCATCACGTGTGTTTGATCGCAACGTGCGTCCCGTAATCACCCGTGTCGAATAAAGTTGCACCCAGTTGCGCCGCTCTTGCCTATCTTCTGTATTCGTCCCGTGATTTGATAACTTTTTCTTTTATAACTTGAAAAATAAGCCGCGGACAAAATTTTTGTAAAGGAAAAATCGTCTCAGAATTAACTCAGGAATACGTTTGTGCAAGGACACCTGGGTTGTTCTGAATCACCCTGTATATAATGATAAATTACTCGTGAAAATTAAATACAAGTTTTTTCTGATCGCGCGATAATATTTGTTTCGGTTTAAATATCTGATTGATCTACTAGGTGCGCAATTAAGTTTCCGGGTTTTTTTATCAATGCAAAATGGAAAATTTCAAGAGAAATACAAAAAACGGTTTATTCAAAGTATCGTCCCTCGCTAGCTACACATTTTTGCCATCTCTCTGGCAATACATGAATACCGCGACGATAAAACGACGCGTCTTTGCATCGAAACCATTTATCCAATCAGTTTTGCACTTCTTCGAAATTGGCCAAGTGTAGCCCAGCTAAGCCATGTGCCATCGACCGGAACAAGTGATAATTGGAAGGGCCAGGTCTGGTGAATACAGCGGGTGCGGTAGCAGATCCCATTTCAGCGTTTTCATGGTGTCCTGGACGATGGAAGTGCGATGGCACGGAACGTTGTCGTGCTGCAATATCACTCGTTCGTGTCTCGTGTCCCATTCTGGCCGTTTTTCGAGCAATGCATGGTTCAAATTTATCAGTTGTTGTTGTCTTGTGTTTGCGTATCATTTTCATCCAATAACGCTTGCAGATCGGCGTCCTCAAATTGTTTTTGGTCTTCCGGAGCGCTCCTTGTCCTCAGTGTCGAAATCGCCATTTCTAAAGCGTTTAAACCAATCTTCACAAGTAGTTTTCGATTGTGCATGTTCGCCGTAGGCTTTCTCAAGCAAACGGCGTGCTTCAGCTGCATTTTCTTTCAAGTTGAAGCAGAAAAGCAAAGCTTCCCGCAAATGCTGTTTATTTGGCACAAAACTCGACATCTTTATTGTTAGAAAAAATATTTTTGCGTTGCAATATGTGTTGGTATTATGACTGGTTATTGTTGACAGATGTCCAAGTTAATAAAAAAACACAACTTTAGACATGTATATCGACTACATGTATCGTTAGCGCCATTCATGTGTGAAACCCGGAAACTTAGTTGCGCACCTAGTATATCGAGTCGCAGGATGCATCGTCGAAAAAACAGGACAACGATCCTTCAGGCTATCGACTTTTTTCATCTATGCTGTAAAACCATTTTTGTCATCCGATGCTAATATCAGGCGCATCCTTACAAGGCTGTAGATGCATTTAGCGTCGAAAGAAGGCGGCTAGCCGTCGAGTCGTCCAGGATCGTGGGAGCCGTTCGTTGAGTCTCTCTCTCTCTCTCTCGCGCGCGTCGTGTCACGTGGCTGGTGCTTCGAGAATTCCCCGGCTGCTCATTGAGGCAAAACACAATCGTGTTTCTCGAATAACGAGTGCGAGATCGAGCGCGACTCCTCTCCGACCACTTTTCATTTTCGCGGAAGAAATGACGCTGCCTCGCCTAAAATGGCAAACTAAACGCTCCCAGCTTCCACGGTGGTTTTATAGGGAAGAACATGGGAACACACCGTGATTCGATTTAATAGATGGCCAAAGCGAAGTGACAAATATAAAGCATGAACGATTCCGCTGGGGAGAATTTTTATTGAAATATGTGAATGTAAAAGTTTTGCAATTGCGGACGAATTTTCAATTATAAACGATACGAGTCTCTCAGTTATTATTACATACATAATGTTATTGTTATACTGTCTACGCCACTGACACGTCAGAAAGTCGAGCCAGGGCGCGTCAAGCACGGCCCTTGACGTGCCTTCGTACGAGACTATCCAATCCCGTCTAGTATTTACACGCGTTAACTCCACCGAACGTAAACTCTTAAACTAAGTGGTCCACCCTGGAACACCTTAACACTATCGGCCAAGTATCGACACGCTCTCACGCGTAATGTAAGCTCGCAGTAGTACGCAGTAGTGTGCGCTCTCGAAAATAAAATCGTGATTAAAAACTAATTACATCTTATTTGAATACAAATAGTTTCGTGAAACATAAATTTATAGAAAACTGCGAAATAATGCTCTGTGATTTTATCTCCCTCTTCATCTTTCAACGGAAACTTGTGCAGTAGAAAAAGAGAAATGATATCTTCATTAAACATACATTACAGAAGATATCAAAATTCATATTTGTCGATTTTTAGATTTGAAAAAATGTGAGAAAACTCAAGAAGTGTGTAAATACAAGAACACACAGACTGGCGTGTACTCATATTTCCAGAGATAGAAATCTAAACTTTCGATCCTTATTCATTCTCCTGTAATAGCTTGAACGACGTTTGTTTTGCAGTCAAGCGTAGTCACGCCGTCGTTCGTTTAAACACGCAGCTTCACCCTTCGTCGATAATTCTGTCGTGTGCTGGCGATAAACTCTAAACTTCTCGCGTACATCATCCAGATACGGCACACATAACACCCTCGGGGGTCGGAAGGGGGGGGGGGGGGACAACCTTGAGCCACTAAATGTATTCGTGGTTTACTTACGACCTACCCCATACGACGAGGCACGCGATGCCGATGGAGCGACTGGAAGCCGGGAGGAGAGCAACGTGCCGGCCAATGTAAATATTTAGCCGGTGTAAAAGGCGTGCACAGCCTCGGGTGGAGGCAGCCTCGTAACGCTTTCCCTTTTCCCTTGCTCCTGTCATAGCTATGTCGATGCGCAAATATATTCTCCTGCAGCCGCCGCCGCCGTGCCGTCGTATATATACACTCGCATGCACGCCCGTGGCGCGTGCATCACGCGCTGATGCAACCGACTGAAAGCGGGTATTCTCTCGTTAATGCTCCGCTGTCATGTCAATATGTCACTATAATGCACAGAGAGGTATCGATCGTGCAAATTGTAGATTACTTATCGACACGTTATCGCCGATATAACGATTTCCCGATGCCCGGAGCTAACTGCGATCGCGCTCCCCGCGCCTTACACTTTGCCGGCCGTGCACGCACGCGTGCTCGTCTACGAGGCAAAGGGCTGGATAATTGAAGTCGGCTTCTCCGCGGACTCGAATCGGTCGTTCCGGACGAAGTCCTTAGAAGGAAACGGAGCCGGTATCGTGGACATGCGATCTGTCTTTATGGTCCGAAAGTGGGCGTCGGTCCGGCCTCACAATGCCGGCGTAACGACGACACAACGAGGACAACGACAGCGACAACGACAAAGACGCGGCCCGACAGCAGGATGAAGGATTCCCGTCTTGTTAAATCGTGACTGTAGCCGGAGATGCATGCGACTGCACATTCTCCGACTTGTGGAACCTTCGGAGAATCTGGTGTTTCGATCAATAAATAGGATGGGAATATTTCTTTAATAAAAAATGAGAGAGAGAAGAAGAATTTGATTTTAATAATCGAATTCATCATTTCATATCTATATTTTTCTTATTTAAATCATCTAAGAAATTGAATTTTACTTAAAGCGACTGAAATAATACCGATATATTGATTACGTTGCAACACGTTTAAAATCATGCACAAGTATTTATCCGAAGAAGTACCCATCTAAAATATCACGTAACGTGTATTACGTGAGATAATAATACACGATATATATACAGTATCTCCCGTTCACATGCCTAGTATTCAACGAAGCGTCCTGTAATGCAATATTCGCCTACGAGAATGGAATAACTCGCCAACGTGCGCGCCGCGTTTACGATTTGTTACGCCAGACTGTATTTGAAAATCCGCATTTGCGCCATTTGCGTCCGATAGCGCGCCTTATGTACTAACTATTTACATAGTTTAGGCGTAGAACGTATCTAACTATCAATTCATAAGCAATTTTAAGAAAACGAACAATGAGGGAGATAATAATGCGACAAGAAGAGAAAGGCGACTAACAGGAAGTAGCAGCTGATTTTCATCACTTGTCCACACGAACTGCGAAATCGCACGTCGCGCATTTCACGCGCAGATATCTAACGGAGGCCTCAACATATTCGCCATTCAACGGAGCGCGGATCCTTTTCTCAGGACGATTGATGATCAAGGGGAGAAGATAGAGAGATTGACACAGTAGCGCATTACAGTGATACCGTGTTCGCCTATTCGTCGCGTCGGCGCGACGGGACACGAGCTAAACGGGCACCAGGTAGTCTCTGCGCGATCTGCGGCTGCTCGGAATTAATTATCCGTCGCGAGATCCCGAACTCGGCGGGGTTCCCAGCGAGCCGCGGGAGATCTGCAAATCCGGGCCCCCGTCATTGACCTCGCGATTTTTATCTCGCTTTATTGCTACAAGATAGATACACAGTCGCGCGTACTAGAGAGAATATCCTTCGCTCATTTTATTTCAAATTTCAAAAATTTTAGATCACTAATCTAATGAAGCAATTGAAGTATCGATCACGTTTAAGCGTATCGTCGCGCTATAATGCTATTTATAATTTTATAATCAATAACTGGACGCGTAAGGTTGTGCTATCGATACCGCATCCAACTAATCTTTTTGCGCTTTGTGTTTCCAGATTTACCAAATAGAGTACGTGATAGTGAAAGCCGCGAATTCGCCGAGACCCGCGGCCTGGATCCTGGAGAAGTCCTTGAACGGGGAGAACTTCCAGCAGTGGCAGTATTACGCGCCGAGCGATGAGGAATGCTGGGCAAGGTATTCGGCACCGCCTGTTGCAGGCAAACCCGTCTACATTGCCGACGACGAAGTCATATGCACCAGCCAGCACTCCAAACAAACCCCCATGGAGAACGGCGAGGTGAGGACGTATTTCTCATTTCGTGAAGCTCAAAAAATGCGGTCGGTCAGCATTGGTTCCTTCCTTCAACGCGTAATTTTTATCGGTTTTTACGACCGCTCTTAAAATTCACAATATCTCGCATTGTGAACTTTATTTTATTTTAGTCATTTCTTTTTTTGCTTCTTTCAAATATTTTACTACGCTCTCTCTCTCTCTCTCTCTCTCTCTCTCTCTCTCTCTCTCTCTAATAATAGACGTATAATTAAACCAATCAAGCACACTTTCAAGTTATTACAGCAATTATATCACACTCGGTAACTATAGCTTGCCTTAACTTTGCACAAAGTCGATTAACGTCGTGCAGATCCAGGAAACGCGAGAAAGAAATTATGCAACTGAAACGTAAAAAACTCACTGCCATTAGGTTCCAAATACGCTGGCGCGTACAAATAACATTTCAACGCCCGAGCGTTGCGAGCGCTGAGCGCGCTGAAAACGCGGACAATTAACTCGCACTAAAAACACCTCCGAGATGCATTTTTCGCACAAGCTCTTTAACTGCCAACCATAAACTCGCATAACGACCTATCTCTAATAACCTTGTGCGTACAAATGTCAGGCTGCCTATCGACACACCTCCGTGCTGCCCGATCGACGCTGAAACAAAAAGTCTTCACCTTTTCGCTTATTACAATGATTTAATATTCAAATGTCAGACATCGCCAACATAACTCTTCTAGTTCATCTCTATATTTCATCATATGATAAAACAATTTTATTAGGGCATATTTTGCTTTTTAAATAAAATTAAGTAGAAAGAAATTTATTTTAAAAACATTCTATTAATTTTTTTGGAAAATTTTATTTAAGCGGATATCAACATTATGCTAATCAGACGCGCGATGCAATGAGAAACAGCATTTATGCTCACCGCTGTATTTTTTGCGGAGCTCGTGAGCGTGTCATTATCAATAATCCTTGCGAAAATTCTCGTGGCTGCACTCAGTGCCATTAATTATTGTCGGATTTATGTGGCCAGGCGTATGCAATTATGCAATTGGATGATTAGCGAGCGCGGATTTTACAGGTCGGGTTGTCGGCCCGCTCTTGCTTCCGGTAGATCCCGTTTTTCTCTCTTCATGTTTTTACTTTTTATCGTGAAGCAGTAATACGAAAGTATCATAAGGTCATTAATAAGCAACAACTGTTCCTTGATATGAGACCATATATAGGGTGTCCCGAAATTATTATTCCAACTTTGGCATATTTTCTAAGTTTTTTGTGTTATTTAAAATCATTTTTTTAAATAAAAATACGCTTTACTTACTTTAGTTTTCTTAACGTTAAATATTCAAATAAGTTTAAAATTAAAATGTACTTTTATTATAGACTTTCATTAAACTTTTCCACACTTTAAATTGAATTCATTAATATTTTCAATTGTTAAATTTTATTCTCAAATCACATATAATTTAAATATTATATTAATACTCGAATGCATTTAATTCAAGTTAAAAGCCGATAAGTTGAGGTAAATAAAAGTTCTGAAACATCCTGTATAATTACCGCGGCACGTATGCCGTTAGTTCTCAATTAATTTCTTTTGATGAACCGTTACGGTGAACCGCGACACGCAACGATATCGGAAACATTAAGAGCGAGACTCCTATTATATTAGCGTATTCTGAAGCATTAATGCGCAGGACGTGCGATTCGCACTGTTTTGCGGTGATAACTTTAGATTTGCTTCACAACGCTGCCTCATGCATGACGATAATTTAGCATTCGCCTCGTTATCACCGTGTCGGGAATAAGTTTGCCGCGAGTAATGCGTTTCTTTATCATAGAAATTTGTTAGTCACTTCCTTTATGTTTTTCCGAGCATATCGATTTGCTTTTTCATCAACATGCACTTCTAGCTTTCCGGATGATATTTGCGTGTAATTATGTCTATAAATAACTAACATCATATTTTGCACTTATTCTTAGTGCTATTGTTAGATACTTGGCAGATTAGACGGATAAATCATAATTTATTTACCGATAAAGTAAATTTACCTTGTTTCTAGTTTTAATTTACAAAAATCTAATAATTTATATGTCTTTGCCTATAAGTATATATTATTTGTTTATATATTCTGCTGTTTTTTTTCTTGTTGCAGAAACATAACAACTATATTGTTAACATTATTAACATTATTCAATGCATTCAGCATCTGTATTTTAAGAAATGCAGGCACATCCGACATTATCTGCTCGTTATTCCAACTACTTCTACTTGTCTGAATCTAAAAATGACACTTCTGCGGTCAGGTCAGGGTATAAAAGGTGATCATCACGTGGCGAGAATTGTTTCTCGGGAAGGGGAGAATCTCGCGGCGGAGACCTTTCTTGCGAAATCGTTGCGGATGCAACGAGTTTGCTGGAAGATGCGCTGCGATCCTGCGCCGCCGCCGATCCTTTCCTCCTCCCCGCGTGTACAGCTCGCGTGCAGAAGTGTAAAACTGCCAGGGTTCTCTCCTATGGAAGGTGTGCGTACGCGATACTCCCTTATACGGCCAGGTAGCGCCGTACATGGCCGGAATGTAGGGATCGCCGTTCTTGTATCATCGATTCCCGCTCTCGGTTTCTCTCTCTTTTGTTTCGCTCGTTTTTCCTCGTCGCCGCTTGCACGAAACCGATCGCGCGTGCTGCCATGCTCTCGGGGCATGAGCTTTAATTATTATCAGCCGAGTTACCAAGAATTCGGAGGAAGCTGGTGTCGGCCAACTGTGTATGCGCTCATTGCTGAATCCCTCCGACTCGGCGATTTCCACTGAACGTGTCATTATTTTGGAATCCGCGAATTGCGCACTTGTACGATGCCGCAGTTATGCCGCAGAAATAGAATCCCTCGATGGTAAATGGAAAAATGAAAGATAAATGTTGAAGATAACGAGAAGCGAGGCAAGCTCGGCCGTGTTTATGCGAAAAAGGATCGATATGTGCATAAATAACATTGTTGATTCGTTGGAAGCCCCGAACAAACAATTAAAAACGAACGTTTGGCAATCAGTGAAAGGTTGCGAGGTATCTTAAGTACAAACGATTGTCCCTTATTAGGTACCGCGTGCTCACCATTTACGGAACCCGCCGTTCCCTTCTCAGCACGCGGCGCCATTCGCGGATGATTTACTTCTTTGCCCGCGTCTCTGGAATTTAATAGCTTCGCCCGCCGACGCTAATTGACCGTTGCTGATTGTTCAACAGCCACAAAGTTACGGATATTACATATGATTTTAGTCGATTTCGCATATATCAGCATCCTTGTTTATTTTTACTAGTAAGATAAAATTATTTTTAGAATATTATTTTCTCCTTATTATTGGAAGAATAAAATTACAATATTTTTCACTGGAAATATATCTTTAGGCGATGATCATGTTCTCCCGATGCGGCTTAAAATAATTTTCATGAATAATATTTCTTTAAAAAATCATTTAAGATAGATATATTTATACTGTGCTATAAACCACTCGACGGGAGACAGTTGGGACTAACAGGAATTTTAATTTTGTTGAAAGATCCACACACACCTGGTGAACGGTCGACCCGGGGCTCTAAACCACAGCGCGACTCTACAGGAATTCACTCAGGCCAGATACGTGCGGCTCCGCTTTCAGGGTCTTCGACGCAATGGCGAGGTTTTGACTGACAAAAGACGTGCCTTTTATTCGATAAAAGAAATCAACATCGGAGGACGGTGCTTGTGTTCCGGACACGCGGCTCGATGTCGGTACAGCGTTTCTCACAGGGTAAGTGCGAACAAATTAGCACAAATAAATTGGAACTCAAATTTATTTATTTAATAAATAATGTACCATTGGCAATATATATTTATCGATGATACATTTGCGGCAAATAAAACATATTTTGCTTAATATGGTAAAATAAATCTATATTAATATGCATTTATAGATTTTGCATATTTTAAAAATTAATATAACATTTTGTTATTATGTTAATAGTCGTTAATTTGCGATTGAAATTATACAAATTGATAGCCATCTCGATCTAAAAATTGAGCTAAAATTGTTTTGCAAATCTTTCCGCGTAAAATCATCGAAACTCATTATTTAAAATGTTACTTCTCGTGCAATTCGTAAACAGCATATAATGTTGCGACTTCCGCGACTTCCGAAGTTGCTCGCTCTCGGAAATGGACATCCGGATATTCGACTGCTCGAGAGATAAATCTCTCAAAAGTGCCATAAACTTGTCAGATCTTTGTCCGCCGAATGGCAAAACGATCCTTTTTACTCGAGTCACTGTCTGCTACAAAGCCGCAGAAACCGCTAAGAATTAAGGCCCAGCCACGATCGCTTTGAGTGGGCGCTTTCGAAGACGCCGTTAGTTTTTTCGTCACTATCAATATTGTGGTTTCTAAAGTACGTGTTTGGAGTTCTTTTCGCGAGAATCTTGAAATTGATGGTAGAGCGATGAATCATGATTAGAACCGTGAGAATTTCCTGTTCACGTAACAAAGAGTGACCCAAATCGTACTGCTCGATTGTTATAGGCGTCATTGAGATTCATATTATGTTTACTTATGCCGCATATTATTATGAAACGATCTTGTTTAGAATCAATTTCTCTGTCAATATTCTACTTAATCGATTGAATCATCTGTCCCGCGACTTGGAATTAATTAATTGCAAAAATAACTTATTCAGCTACAATGACTGTCTCCAATATTAAAAATTTTTAACAATATTTTCACTATGATAAAAATAATTTTTAATGTACTCACACATTTTGCCGTAAATGTTACTTAAACATAACACGAAGCGGCTACATTCACCGCTAAACGTGCGGCGCGAATGCGGGTCAATAGCGCACGAGCAGCACGGACTGAATTTACGGCAGTCACGAGACGGAGTGCAAATGCAAGCCCCACCTTTTTTATTCCGCGAGAGGGTGATTCACGTTTAATTACGGACGCCGTGCTGTAGTTTCTCTGGCGGCACAATACGCGGAAAAACAATAGTCAACGCGGGTGATTAATTACTCTCGTCTGCAGTATGTTTCCTCGCGAGGCTGAGATGCTTTCTCTCTTTTTCTCTCGCAGCTGCAGAAACGCGAATCACAACGCATGCTGTTACAAACCGAGAGTGGATATTCGCGGAGTGTATGCAGCTGGCTTTAACAGAAAATAATAGTTCATGGTGTCCCCCAATGCTGTCGCTTGGAATTGCGAAACTCCTCGAGCGGCATTCATTGCGATTACGATTGCCTTATTCCGCAGACAGAATGCAAATTTTTAAAAATTTTCTCTGATGTTCTTGAAGTAGCACCTATTTTCTCACGTTCCACATATCGTTATATTGTTAGAATCATCACTTGTTATATCATGTTAGCCAAATGACAGAATTTTATATTAAAAATAAATAAAAAATAGTATATTGAGTGGAAAAACGCGATTAAAACTTGGTTTGTATAGGTTTTTCTTAATTTTTTTAGTTATTGGATTTGTGCAACAGTGAAAAACGTTACAGTTTGCCTTTTATATTATTGCCATTGCGTTCAACGATCCAAGAATTGAATAAGATTTTCATGAAATGACAACATGTAATGCGATAGAATATTTATCGTGTGCATTTATGATGCAACGCCACGTTCTGCTGCATCCCGTATCACTGCACCACCGTAGAATGGACATTGACCTATGCGTAGTATTTTGCTCGCGGAATTTTCACAGCATTTGTTCACTCAATGCAAGTCGCGTACTTACATGTTCATTCAGCGTACGTTGTTATGAATCGAGGCGAGAATTATCGAGAAAAGTGCAACGATAGGGATACAATGAAACGCAAAAAACGCGCACAGTGATTGAGAATCTACGGGATGTTGATGATTTCCTGTCTCTTTGTAATGTCTCCAGAAGAAAACAGTGTGGAGCATTGTGCTATTATCAATCCCGTTTACAATGTTACGGTCACTTTCGATAGGAACAATTAATTTCAACGCTTTGTCACATCATTTAATTGCGGCAATTACGATTAATTAATTAATCTCTTCACGAATCTTCTTTGAATCTTTATAAAAATGAAAAATAAATAGTAGCAGCAACGCTTTGAGATTATTGAAATTGAGAAGATATTTTTCATAAAATTTTTACTCTTCCTTTTCTATGTAGAAGATTCAGATATTTTTTTATATGTATATAAGCCGAATGCAGTTGAGCGATTAATTTAAATATATTCAGAATTATATCTCTGAATATTTGTTAATTAACTATCTATTTTATTCAATTTTAGGTTTTTTTATTAAGAATATGTGAAAAATATATTGATTTCTCGTAAGAAATATTTTATATACTTTGCCTGCAAAATATTATATTTTATAAATATATCCCGTCTAATGTTTCTTATTGATAGAATTTGCGGATAATTAAAATAAAGTATTTTATAATAGAGATTGACACTCTTTTTACATTTTTATCAAAAATAGAGATAAAAAAATGGATGGAATTGATGTCAAAAAACTTATTTTAGCCGTTAATTTATGAAATAAATATTGTGAATTAGTATTTTAATTTTAATTGATTAAAATTTTGACATATTTCTGGATATATTAATCTTTTAAGTGCACATTTAATACAAATTAGGCTTAATACATATTTTATTAATTGGATATTAAAAGTCTTTGTGTAGATTTTTAATATTCTGAAACGTTAAATATATTATTTATAAAAACTTGAACTATTTGCTCCAACTATTCAAAAAATATTTGCTGCACGCTTTGAAATTTTTATTCATCTTTTAAACAACTCTTTTTATTTAAAACTTTTACTTAATTTTTAAGCAAAATTTTTTATACTTATAAACTTTAAAATATTTGATTAATCAGGATCGAATTTTTTTACAATTATTAAAAGTAATTGTAAATCTTAAACACGGTGTGTTTAGATCGACTTAATTTGTTTATAATTTACATTAATAATAAAATTGTGACATCTAGCAATTTGATATTTTTCACAGTTTAAGATTTAAAATTCATTAGTTATATTATTCGTTGTCCAAGTCGTTTTGTTTAGTATTTATCTTATCTCGTTGTATGTAACATTATTATTGCCGTTGACTTTACCAAAACCTTGATACGCGGCCTCGATTGTTAACATCGTATGTTGCTCGTTTCGAAAACTCGAAATTTCTTTCTGGAAGCTTCGACCTAAAAGGGAATATAAACTGAAACGTGACCCAAACGTCGCGCAGTCTTGTTACAGCTCTTGCTCTGTCTCGATCGCCGTACGCATCATTGTCTAACGTTGGCCGTTATTCGTGATATAATCTTTGCGTTTGAGATCGCGTTTCTAAAGTCTTTGCCGCGCGCGTTCGATAATGTGATGAATCAACTTGTACGGTTGACAAAATTCGTATTTCATCAATTGTACAAGTCAATTTATCGCATTATCAAACGCTTCGAGACAATCGGTGGAACATTACGAAAAGCGCATCCGCGAAATACAGTTATGTTGTAATAGACGAGACATTGGACAGAGCATTATCCGAGTGGACGCTAGTGTGACTAAGGTAACTGATTTTTCATTTATTTATTATTTGTCATTTGTGAAATATATTTTATTCCTACAAAACCCTTCGAATCTTCTGTCTGAGCTCTAATTGAAACAACTGTTTTTTTATACGTAGTATTCACTTATAATCGAAAACTATCAGTTCTAAAATCGTGATATTTTAAATGAGAGATAAAGATGTAATCTAAGAACCTGTCGTTAAAATTAAGATCAGATCCGGAGCACAATGTGAAAGCGAGGATTTTTATTTTTCGGACAGCTCATCGTGATTCGAGAATAACGGTTTTGCAGTGAGAGAGAAAGAGAGAGAGAGAACATTATGACTTTCATGCTTCTGCTGAAATATAATTCAGGTTTGTTAAATGCTTCCGCGGTGAAGAATAATTGTAGAAACTGGGGTTTGATTGCTGATCGCGAACGGGGTAGCCAGTTTATCACTGGCAATAAATAATATCGAGCGTGTGTTAACGGGCGGATATTGCAATTGACCGAACTGATCCATTTGTTTGTCACATCAATGATAAGGCCACACGCATCGCGTTGACCCTTGGCTCTTTCGTGTGCGTTTCTTAATTATTGCGCACGCAATTTGATATTTACGGTGAAATTGAAGCTCATTAATCCCAATTTATTTTCGGCGATTTAATTTTTTGTGCGATTTCTTCGACCCAATTTAATGTGTGCTGCGATAATTGCCGGATCAATCGAAGCGATTCTAATAAAAATGTGTTAATGTGTTAATTGACAATACTAACGCTCATTTTTTATGACTTTACGATAATTGTTAATTTTATTATAGCAAGCTTTTAGCAGTGTGATAATTAATTATGAAATTTTTCTTGCGTTGGATATGTTAGTTTTGATTTTAGTTTAAATTACATTACATTTTAATTTAAATATTTTT